TTCATTAAATCCATAATAATTTTTTGTCAAGGAAATAAAAGGATTAACTCTAAAATATTGAGGGTATAATGTTAAATGCATAAAGAACAAAAACATATTTAGATACTGCTGACTGCAAGTATTAAAGTATTTATTAAATCAGAGGATCTCTTTGAAAAAAATTAGCATGGAAAAATAAAATATTTAAATATTTTGAGAATATATTTATAGGGAACACAAGTGCCTTCAGTAACACTAAAGTCCATTTATTCAATACATATTTTATAAGAATATTTACAGTGTATTTTTGTGTGCTTCTCAACAACACATTTCAGGCCACAAAACAGACACTTGCAATTCAGCAGTCTCACTGAGATTTCAGCAGTGTAAGGGTTTATGAGCAGCTCTAACATTATTCACAAAGCTTGTTTCAAACACCAATCTCACATTTACTTTTTCTATGTGTACACTAATTTTTCATTACCACATTTCTTGACAGGGCCTCCTGTGACATCCTGATTCATCCTCAGGACTTTGTTACAGGCAAATCCACCAAACACATGTTCCTTGTGTAAAGGCAAATGCTGCGACAGTGGCTGTGACCATGCACCCACATCACTTCCAGAGCCCCAGCATGCCTGCTCACACAGCCAGTACCCCCTGACTTGTAGTGATGAGTGTCCAGCACAGAGACGTGCTGCAGCCTGGAACACCTGACCACACACTTCTTCCTTTCTTAAAATCTCTTGGCAACGCAACCCCAGAACTGTTCCCTGGTCCATCCTGGTCTCTCTAAATACTTGGTGTTGTCATTACCAAGTACTCCTTTAACAAGTAGGTAAATGATAACACACACGAAGCATACACAGAACAGAGTTCAAAAGCCTTAAGAGAATTGCGAGAAGCCAGTTTGATAGAACGCCCTGGCAAAGGCATTTTGCTTTCCTGAATCCTTCCCCCAAAAACCCAGTGCAGGACAGGCTAGGGAACAGAGCAAGCACCACTGACTTGCTCATGGCACCCAAGTGTTTTGCCCAGAGATTCGCTGCCTCCTCCTCCCAAAATCACGTTTTCACTGACACACTTACTCTATCAATGCTGTACTGTACTGTACTGAAATTGCATCTCATCTCTGTTGAAACACTGAGTGATTCTTTTGAGCAGCATGTGATATAACTAGTAAGATTTTGAGGAAGAGCAAGAGACCTTATCATGAACAAGGCTGGCAAAGGTCCTTGCAATGCGTACCACAAGTCCAGAGCATCAACAGGAATGTGAGCTAATAGAGGTGCACAGGCACAAATAATATTGAGTCCACACCAAAATTCAGGTGTCCAGCAGCACACCCTGCTCTCAGGGGCTGTGGTGAACACAGAAGCCTGCACAGCAGGACAACAGCACACACGGAGATGTCCTGCCCTCAGTGTCTGTCCCAGCCAGTGCAAGCAGAGATATTCAGACCCCACTATGCTGTGGGCTGTCTCCAGTGCCTGGTATCTCTTACCCACCGAGGCTGTGCCGCTCTGACCTCAGTCCCATTTACATCTGTGGCTTCCTAAAATGTCCTACGCTAATACATCACGTGATGTAGTTACAAAGGAAACAGTTGTGGGGTTTCTTTTTAGTTAGGCTTGTACTTGCTCCATTAGCTCTTCCATGACGAGTGTGGAAATCCAAGGTCAGCCGGAGCTCAGCATTTCCATGATTCATTCTCTAGGACCATTGTCATCAAGTCCTCAAGCTTCAGCCTGGCTTCTCATGCCTTTGAGAGTTCAGCTTTGAGCCATCTACACCAGGGTGAACAGGAGGCTGGTTTTCATAGGACTGGGACATGGTTTATTTAGCCTAGCAAAGTGTGAACTGGGGAGGAGACAGGGTGCTCTCTTCTTGTGGCATTGGAAATAGAAGTACTTACAATAAAACTGAGGTTGGCATGGAAAGGAACGGGTACTCTGGAATATGGAAAGGTGACCAACCTCAGGATTTCAGACAACCAGTTTATATTTTCACACCATCTGTCCTGATTCCTGCCATCCCGCTTTCACTGAGAACTAGTGAACATGCACTGAGAACCATGGGAACATGCAAAAAGCTTAGGAGGCTGTCTTTAAATTGTCACCAAATCTTTCTTGTCTGCAGAGTCCATAGTTACATGCAGCTGAGCTGACAGATAAGCATTTCTAACCAATCAGATGCAAAATCGACTGAAAAGGGGCATTTCTAGGGACATTGTGGAACTGCTCAGGATGGACTGGCAGCCAGGGAAGAGCAGACACCTTGCACTTAAAAAAAAAAAACAATCTGAAAACCTGCTCGGGGAGGTCTGGTTGCCCTTTGCTGGGCAAGTACTGAAAGGTAGAAACTCCATTAGTCAGAGCGAGGGTACTGGTCAGCAGATAGAACAGCCAGGCTGCTGGCAGAGCAGGTTTCCCCCTTTCTAAGAGTCCTGTGTTTTACTATACTGGACCATGAAGAGGTAATTCTCCTCCCCTTCCTGTTCCACAGACTCCAGCTCTCTCAGGTCCATCAATAGCACTGTCATCACTGAAAGGACTGCAGATCAACTCTAACTGCAAGCCCATAAACCCAGAAGTGACTTCATTTTTGGCTGGCTATTGAAACGTGGCTTGCAATGAACCTGAAACTCCCCTCGTTCTGTGGAAGAATATATTTTAGAAAAGTGTATTTTAGAAAAGTGCAGCAAATTATTTTGAGACTGAAACCCATCATCACGGAGCACCAGATCAGAGCAGAGAGAGGGAGCTACTGCCAACACATTCAAACAAGGATTCTCCAGGAATGAGCATTTCTGTATATCAGACCAGTTTTAATTAATTGTCCATACTAGCTTCTACAATTGGAAACTGTGAACTTATCCACTGGGTACTTACATCAATGGTCATGATATTTTCCCTTTGATTCGTTGTGTTTACACCCCAAATCAAAATAGTCCAATCATTTTTTCAAACAGCTTTGTAGAAACATCACTTACTCTGACTGTTCCATTCTTAAAATCCCATTTTTCAAACTAACATAGCCTATAGGTTCAGGATCTGAATGGAGATGTTTGAAAACACCTGCAAAACAGGTTTTTGGTGTTATAATTATTGTATTTTCTGGTTATAGCAGTCAACGAAAATTAGCAGTACATTTTCAAAGAAGTCCTAGCATAACTTCTGGTTACCAGGGGGGCTTCTTCGGGGAGTCTTCTGTTGAGAAAATATTCTTTTCCTAAAAAAATATCAGGCTGAGGAACAGAGACAGGAATTCATGTCTCCTGGTTTTCGCCTGCAGCTCACTACAAGCAGAAAAATCCATGGGATAGATACTCAGTTTCAAAGCCATGTAACTGCACTCCTAAAAGTGGCCTTTACCAAGTTTTTCTGCAAGTAGAATAGGCCAGTAGCTTTTGTTAAAACAAACAGTACTTTTAACAAAGCTGGTTGGTATTTTTTTTAATCCTGAAACTAATCACAGTGCATAAAAATACACTGAGGACAACAGGAAGCATCGGCCCCAAACATACAGCTTTCCTGAATATCTCCATTTCCTGGCCCTCCATCACCTCAGACTGTGATCACATCCCAGTTTATGGTGAGCTTATCCGCATGCCTCCCACATAAGGCAGGAGAAAGTTACTGCTTAGAGGAGACTCAGAAAGACCATGCAGTGGGTCATGCAGAGAAAGCACAGCTGAGCAGGGAGCCAAGCATCAGCTCCCTACCATCTTTGCCCAACAGCCCCTTCTTTGCCTGTTGCCTCCCCTGAGACATATTTATGACACTTCTTCTTTTCACTCTTTATTGTTCTTTGTAGTTTAGCTTCTACCAACTTACCTTTCAGAGTGCCAAGATGGGGTTTCCTTCACACTCTTATCTTCTTAAGGACAAGTTGCAAGCCAGAAGTCAAGATTTCAAAGGTGCTGGAGCAAGCAGGACACTTAAGCTAATGAGGCGGGAGTGAAGGTTGGTTGGTCCACAGCCCCAACAAACCTGAGAGGCAGGCACTCACTATCTTCCTGCCCAAATTTGCATTTTGCAGCCAAATAATTTTGCAGCCACTGATTTGAGAACAGCCCATTAGACTGCAGCCCTAAGTGAGGAAGATTCTGAAGGGAGAAGACACAACAGGTATATATATCTCCAGAGGTGAAAGAGACTTGCTTGTGACAAGGCTGTGACCACAGGCAAACTAAACTGCATATCAAGATGAGAAATTATGTAATTCTTAAAGGCAAGACTAAGTGTAACATTTCAACCTATCCTGCCTACTCATTGTTTAAATGCCAGGTGTGTAGCTTGCCAAATCTTTACTTAAGCTTGATTTTAAAAAGCCCTGTCAGGCTGCAGTTCTCAGACTCTCCTATCTTGGGTTGACTGATACTTTACAACATAAGCAGCCTACAAGAGGAAAGTTTAAACCACACACCCCCAGTGGTTGCACAGTGTAACTGTGATGTGCATTTGGATTAAAAACAACTCTCATCAGTGAGTTATCTCTACAGTCAGGTAGAGAGCTGTGAGCATCCTGGCTCTCATGGGGATCATGGTACATGGCTAGGGAAGACCGTACGGGCAAGGCAGGCCTGGAGAACAGCCATTATAAAAGGCACCACCACCTCTGAGAGAAGTCAAAGGTGCAACAACCTGCAGCCTTTCATTTCCCCTGAAGCTTCCTTGGCTTTAACACCCACAGGAGAGCAGTTTTGCAGCTGCTTCTCAGCTCTTGTTGTTGGAAGCTGCTGTTCTGCCTCTGATGGATCTGACAGAAGTCTTCACAGGACATGATGCAGCATGTCAAGCAGCTGTGTGCCATTTTGACAGACACCACAAAGTAACTAAATGACTTAGATGTGTTAGCAACAGTAAAGATTTCAGGCCAGCAATCTTCCAAACTTCCACAGGAGAAGTGGATGAGTTGGAACAGTAGATGTTCCTTGGCCTGTAACTTTAGCTCTGTCCCCCACCCTGTTACACACAGCTGTATCTCAGGGAATGCAGTACACAAACACCAACAGGCACTCAGCTAGCATCATTTGTTTAATAAAGTCTTTTCTGTCTTTAAAAAAGTTTACAGGACACATGTGTTCCACATGATAAAACTACCAGCAGCTGATCTTTCCTTGTAATAACTTAATCCATGCAGAAAGACCGGACTGCCTACCTTGGAGTTAACAGCAGCTAACAACTGACCAAAATACACACAGATCTACACACTGACATGGATACAGGTAGCACGTGACACAGTAGTATGAGAATCAATATACAAGCCTTGGAGAATTTTCAGAATTCAAGTGCAAGTTTAAGGAAAACCCCTGATTTATTTTTTTAAATGGAGCTTATGTACTGAATGTTCTGCTACAATCTGCCTACAGTCACCCTTTATTCAGCAGTCATGTGAAAACACATACACAAAAATGTTAGAAGTCCTTTTCACTACTGATACTACACATTAACAACTAACTCTGATAGCACTGCTTTGGTTGTTTCAATACAGAATGATAGGTTTCTAATGTCTTAGTTCTGTTTTCCCATTTTCCATCCTTTTCCAAAGTCGTTGAAGAGTGTTGCTGAGGCGAATATTGTGTTTTTCTTCAAGAATCCACTGTTGCTTTTGTATAAGAAACTGTGGAAGGCAAAAAAACAGGAACATTACTATAGCTAGAGTAGCAATGCAGTAGGATTCCTTCAAATCCCAAAGAGAAAAGTATCTTTATTTATTGTCACAGCATGAAAATTAACGCTAGGTTATTTGTTTATCACATTTTAGAAACGTTCAGCTCCTTAAAAATTCAAATGTTATTGGAAAGACTGGACTGACCAAAGCACTCTAGAAGGTCTACAAACTTGTGCTGTCTAAAATGTTCTTATTTCAGCACACAACCTGGAAACAGGGGGCAGAAAACTTGTATCCCTGTAGCACAGCAGCAAGGCCAACAGTTGCTGAGAAATAATAGTACATCATCACTTCATTTTCTAAGAGCACATTTTTCTTCCCAATGTGCCTGCTCATCTCCAGGATCAAAAGAGGAAGATGCAACAAACATAGAGGCAAAGAGAGCAGAACTCCTGTGATCCTAGCTGTTGTACCATATGACAATCCACTTCTGACTGCAACTCAATTAAAAACAGAGCCATTTCACACCAATCTTGAAGCTGCTCTTCACGAGGCCAGGACTTGAGAACTTCTTTGATCCCTTTGCAAGGTAAATCTAAAACAAATTTCCAGAAATCTATTCAATGCCTTAGGCAAATTGATTTGCATTAGTACCACTTCTGTAGAACAGAAATAATCCCCCAATGTCTGACCACTAAGGAAATTAATAGATTAAAAAAAAAAAAAAAAAGAAAGAAAAAAAGAAAGAAAAGAAAGTAACTTTGGGAGCAATGTGTGATGCTGAATAGTATCAGCCAGACTGAACTCTAGGGACAGGAAAATGAGAGAAAGGTTAAACCTCGATTTGGCAAAGCTGTTAGTAATTAAACTGCACAGCTGGCTCAGGGCTACAGTGCGCAGATGAGGTTAATAATACTTTTTTGAGAGCTTAGACATGTTTGAAAAGTCAAAATCAGCAGTGTGGCTTTTCAGGGGCAGGGAAAGGAAGGTAATGAAAGCTGCGTCCTGAAGACTTAAAACTGACAGGAAGAGTATGATAAATACATATCTACATAGGCAGATAATCCATGGCAAAGGAATTGCATCTATATTCAGTCTAATTCCATTCACTCATGTCCAGGTGTGCCCTGCAGGTCAAGTGCCTGAAGGGAGAGAAGATCTGCTGCCAAACTCCAGCAGCAAGTCTGGCTCTCAATGCCTGGCCTCATGTCCTTATTAGATGGTGAAGGTATATGAAATAGCCTGTTACCAAGTCATTCTGGGAAAGAACAAACCCAGGATGGATGGGTAGGAACCATGACAGGAAGATGCAGTTCTGGCCTGTCTCCAACTTCTGAGTGGTTTCGCACTTCCACTGCCAGGGACCATGTGTTATTTGGGCACTACAAATGGTGGGGGCTGTTCCAGAATGACCTGCCTGCTAGGTGAAGAGAGAAATATAACTGTGTATCTCCACTCTGAAGAATACAAAGCAGGATTCTGAGTTATATCACTGCTGTATTATAAGATCAAATTCCTAAATTTCCTGAGTCAACCTGGAAACAATCATGGCTGGCCAGACTCACAGACACACCTCCAGCCAATCACACAGCTGGGAAGAGATTTTCACCTACTCCTACATTCTGGTGTGTGACTGCAGACAGAAGCAGAGATTACCCACTAGCAAGTATCAGAATTTCACCTTTCAGCACTTCTAATGCAGCTCTCTGCATGTGCTGCTTCAGTAAGACACACAGGGTTTAGAGACTGCCAAGCAGGAGGCCACAGCTTTACAGAGGAGAGGAAAAGCCAAACCTGAGGCCTGCTTTGGATGAGCTAAGGCTCTCTTTCCGAAGACACATCTCCTTCTGCTCCACTGCTGGCGCTGGGGTCATCCTTGTTTCGGGGGGCATTTCTCTCTCTACTTGACTCAGAGGGCACCTTAGTTCTGGTCTTCTCTTTTCTTTGTTGCTGTTTTTCAAGTTTTGTCAGCTAGTCACAAAACAAGGAGAAAACACTTCATGCAACAAAACCATTCCAGATGTCTATTTATAAAAAATCACAAATGCGAGCATTTGTATAAAACTTGCAATTTGGATTCACGTCACCAATACATATATCAACAAAACAGGAAAGAAAAAAAAAGCTGAAGACTAGGATTTCCAGAAATTTAGAGAAGACAGTGAATTATCACCATACACTAACACAATCATCCCAGAGCATAAGAGAAGTGCACATATTCAAAGAACTACTCTCACTTTTCCAGGGTTCCTTCTTTGTCCAACACAATCTGTAAACGTGGAAAACAGTAAAACACAAGGACCACAAGAGAGAGTTGGATTCCACCAAACTTCTGTTTTGAGCTTTAAGTGGTGGTTTTGTAGTTTCAAAGATGCTGACAACAGATGTGTCCCAAGTTTGGCCATCCAGCACACAAGAATAAATTCATTTTATTATTTATCCAGAGAAAGATCCATGTGAGCTTTAGTATCACCTAGGATATACAATAACCATGTGAAATCAAAAACAAAGACAAAACCCTCAGCTAACTCTACCCTTGCCACCTCTCAGTAGAAATGCTTTCAAATACTACTAAGAGTCAAGCTAAGTTGCCCACAGCTGTCACTTCATCTCTTTCTGATTTTTCAGAGAAGTAAATTTTGGGGATGCTACATACTGATAGCTACTTAAATCATCACACTTTGCACAATTTATCTGTGTGGATTTCTATAATCTAATGATTTTCTTTTTAACACATTATCTGACAACACACTCATTGACAACATGAATGCTACTCTTCAACCAACAAGACTACACTGTTATGTGACATTTTTTAAGTCACAATAATAGAATATTTATGTGGAATTCATGTCTTCCTGACATTTAAAAATGTAAGTTACTTAAATGTCAGTCTTCAGAAGTTCCTATCGTTTAAAACTAACATTTCCAAGGGGCATTACGCAATTATTTACCCCTCGTATCAACCAAGAGTGAGTACACTGCTTTACTGTACTGATACAGGCAGGTTCAATAACAAAGATCTGCTACAATGCTTTCATTCTCCTTATCCTTCCCACTACAGGGTCTAGTTTCACAATATGGTATGAAATATTACATGGTTTATTTCTTTCTGGACCATAATGGAACAATGGTCCCACAGAGATCAGTTCAGCGTCTTATCAGAATATATGCATTAAACACCGAAACTGCTATGTCAATTCCAGCCAGAATTCCACAATTATTCATAATGCTTTCAAAGTTCAGTGGGCTTTTTTTCTGAGTTGTCACCACGTCACCTCCCCAGGTAACCTGTAAAACCTCATCTTGCTCCATTTCTGTCTGGCTACTTCTATTAGCCACAAATTCCTACAAATAAATACAAAGTACATCTCCCTAGTCTCCCCCAAAATATGATATACACTTACAAAGCATTCTGGGCACAACTAAACTAATCTCAGCAATAATCCCAATAAACTTCATCAAGACAGCACAGAAATTTGCTACACTCTTAGCCCTTGGATAATTACATTTACCTCTGTAATTATGCAAATGGTTGTATGCAAGTCCAAAAAGAATTACCCAAAATTGCTTCCCCAGTTAAGGCCAGAAACTACAATGCTTGTGATTTGTTAGTACAAATGTTTGTTAGAACATTAGGGAAAATCCTTCTGCTTTCTGCATCACAGCCAAGAGTGAAGAGAAATATCTGATCTCCCCTCATTCTCCAAGACTGTGTAAGAAATGTAGTCACTATTACTGAACTCAGTACAGAATCATCGCATATTGACCTTCTTCCCTTTTATGCCTTTTTGTTTTCACATTTCTTATCCAGTTTCTAATCCCTGGATTTGTTTTGACTTTCAAGTAAAATTTCTTGTACATCTGACTTACTAAAAAGATGTTTTAAGAGCTCAATTAAATGCCAGCAATTTTTGACTTTTTTACTTTTCCATTCACACATCCAAAATTCAAAAAAAAATCACGAATCTTCAGTAAAGGCTCAGCAATCACTGGTGTCTACTGGTGTAAGAATCTTCTGATTTACTTCATACTTTCAAATAATTTGCTTACTATTAAATCAGACCACAATGAAACTGAGCAATTCACAACAAACTAAACTCTAGTTGCTTCCCCTGCTTACTAGGGTTTCACAAACAGCTGTGATACTCTCTTTCTTATTTGTATATATATAGACTCACACATCTTATATATGTTATATATACCCATATACATATTTATTGTACAAGGAAGACACATTTATTTTTAATTTTTTTATTAATTTGATTTATTTATATCCCTCTAGCACAAGGAATAAATAATATACATTTGAATTAATTATTTTTATTAATTTTATTAATTACATTGCAAATGAATTATAAATTTCAGATTACCAATTACAAACACAGACAATCTCTCAGACAAAAAGAGGTATTTCACTGCCACATTCAATGACAGAAAAGAGCTATTCATCAGCAATTATGTGTCTAATTTCTTTTGGCTAACATCATATTAAACACTGCAGGATGGTTCAGTCATCTCTTCTGGCTAAAACAAAAAGCAAGAACATAAAAACCACACCATCCCTAAGACTTAGTTCCCATGCTACAAGGAAATCAACAAAAAAAAAAAATGCCACGGGCAGGGAAGAGGAAAGAGAATGACATTTTAAACTGGCTCTTCCTCATCACATCTTGTATGATGGGCAAGTCAATGGTACACATGTAAAACAGTATCAGGAAAGGATGCCTCAGAGCATCAGAAACAGCAGTGCCTCTGACTGTGTGTTAAGGTCTCAATATGAGCTAGAACAGATACCCAGTAACAGTTAAAAGTGCTGCCAGTTTTCAAGTAACAGGGTTCTTTGAAACGTGGTGTAGATCAAACTCTCAGTGCATCCAAAGCACACAGGGCTGGATTCCTTTATCAATGTCTCTGCCACTGTAAAAGCTCACCCATTTCTGTGACAGCCAAGAATCCCCCAGACCAGGACAAGCAATGAGCTGGAACCCAAGGGGGCTCATGAAATGTGCATGGGCAACACACTGCAAAAGGCAGGAGAGCAAACTTTACTCTTACTCTCACTGCAGACTGTCCAGTACCCACTCAGATACCCATACAAGGACTCTGACCTTTACACAGGCTTTAGGAACGCACTCAGTAAGTAGATCCTTGGTGTATCCTTACCTTAGGACAAGTAACAGTGTTCTAAGCACATCCTGCACAAGAAGCCTCATCTCTGCTGATGAAATGAGTTTTAAGGAGGAATGGAAGCCAATCAGCAAGCGAGACTGAAGCAGAATCAGACATTCACACTAAACAAAGATTTCATGCCAGAGAAAGTTTGAAAACCAGCATCCTTCCCTTACTTCTGTCCATGTTGTGGTCACCAGGAAAGTGTTGTCAGATGGGTAAAGCAGGCAGCCTTGAACTGTGAAAGCAAAATCCTTACACAAGCCAACATTCCCCAAGAAAGAAATGGAACCTTGAAGAATCCTGCACACCTTGGTGATTCCTCTTGGGTTATTTAACACCTACACACAGAGCAGTGGGGTAAAAGCTCTCTGAATCCTCTCCATTCCAGTCAGAAACTGCACTGTGCCATCCTTTGGGGATCCACCCACCCTTAGGTCAATGATTCCCACTGACTGCTTCAGCAAAAAAGATTGCTCACCAGTTTTGCCCTAGAGACCATGACACCATGGGCTCCATCTCATATTCACAGGCAGCAGGACACGATGCTGCTCTCCATCTTGCCACTATGCAGTCAACTGCAGGCTACAATAAAAGCTGCTACACAAGGGATATGGCACCTGCACCTGAGACAGAGCCCTGCAAGAGCATGGAGAACTGTGCAGAACACATTGCCTGATGGCATGGAGGGACCATGTCCTTTCCTATTCCACAAAGAGTTGTAGTGGCAAAATCAAAGGGTTGATACCACCACAAGTACCACAACTAAACCTCAACCTTAACAAGTCATAAACATGGCACCTGAAAACACGGGGCCGTAACCCTCTTGATGGTTAACGGACAGTTCAAAGGGGACATCAAAGCACTCTGTTTCTCTGCCAATCCAGCTTTCTGCAGACTATTTCCCAGGCAAATCAAGCAGTAGCTCAATTCCCCCAAGTGGGAATGTGAGTGCCTGAATCTACAAGTAGTTCTCACTCCAAAAACAGAGCTACTGTTGCTAATTATGCACAGTTTGGCCTGAGAACTCGTGCTAAAACTGTGAGGGTACAGAAAGAAAGACCAGAAACAGAAGAACTACTACTTTACAGTCTTGCTCCACTTCCCCTCCTGAGGAAGCTGTAGTGAGCAATGAGGTCAACCCTCAGCCTCCTTTTCTCCAGACAAACGTAGAGTTCTTTGCTGCTCCACACAGGACATTCCTTGCAGCCCTTTCACCAGCTTTGTTGCCTTCCTCTGGATGTATTCAAGTACCTAAACAACCTTCTTGAATCGTGGGGCACAGAACTGCACATAACACTCAAGGTGAGTCTGCACCAATGCTAATTACAGCTAATCACCTCTTTAGACTGGCTGTTTAAATTTGATACACCCCAGGATGGGGTTTGCCCTCTTGGCTGCTCAGGCACACACTGCTGACTCCTACTGAGCCTGCTACAGGCTAGCCCGTCACACCAGATCCTTTTTGGAGAGCTGTTCTCCAGCCACCCCTCTCCCAGTTTATGTTTTTGCCCAGCACTGTTCTGTCTCAGCTGCAGAATCCAGCATTTGGCCCAGCTAAATATCATGCCACCGATGACTGCCCAATGCTCCAAACTATTTAGATCCTTCTGCAAGGCCTCTTGTCCTACAAGAGAGTCAAGAGCACTTCCCAGTCTGGTATCATCAGCAAATCTGCTAATGGTGCATTCAGCTCCTGCATCCAGACTGATAAATATATTGAACAGAAGGGGTACCAAAATTAAGCCCTGAGGAACACTGCCGGCGACTGATCGTCAGCCAGCGGTAGCCCCACTGACTACAACTCTTTGAGCCCTGCCCTTCAGCCAGTTCTTCACTGTGTATCTGCTTATTTCACAGCTGGAGGACTTGTTGAGAAGAATGCTGTGAGAGACAGTATCAAAAGCCTTACCAAAATCCAGAAAAACTAAATCCACCACCTAACCTTCCTCCACTATGCAGGTGACCTTATTGTAGAAGGGTATCAAATCAGTTGGACAGGACTTTCCCTTCTGAATCCATGTTGACTCTGCCTGATGACTGCATTGTTCTTTAAATGCCTTTCAACAGCACCCAGTATGATCTTCTCCATAATTTTTCCAGGTACTGAGGTTAGATTAACTAAATTGTAGTTTCCTAGTTCTTCCCTGGTGTCCTTCTTATAAACTGCAGTAACAATTTTAACAAGGTTAAGTGAAACGTTATACAAATAAGATTGGTGTGGCCTTGCTGAGGCACAGTTGGTAATAACAAGCCCTCCCCCTTCTCTTTCAGCCTGGAAAAGTCACTGTTGTGTTTAGAAGATGAGAAAACCTCATTACTGCATTTGGTTTGCAGCATAACTTGTGCTGTTCCTAAGAAGAGCTAACTCTCCTCTCCGCTCCAGACTTAAATTTGGGACTTAAATTGCTGTTCCCTTTTTTCTGACAAAGAGGCATGTCTCCAGTTCCATCCAGTCACCCACATGCACAAGCTCCTACATGGCAAGAAACTTCACTAAAAGCTGGCAGGGGTGGTTGTCCAGACACATTAAAAACATCATTAATGAGTCATGATTAAACAGCAGCTTTAATGATGAGGAGGAATAAACTGTAAAAAGCTTTTTTGCATTACACATGCACAACCTTTACCAGGACAGCAGGCAGCTATCAACAGGCCAGGGAACTGAAGAAAACAATGAAATTATTTACTTTTCAGAGGCTGCATAGGAAGGACGAGGTCCTTGTGTCTAAGGAAAGCTATACTGCTTCATAACAAGAATGCTACAAATCTGCAAAGGATATACATCACTCTTTCCAGGCAGACCTTCTGGGTCACTTACCTGTTTAGGGTCAACAGTGGCAGCTGGGGACTCCAGCTCTATTGTTACAGGACCATCGTTCTGGATGTGTACCTGCATGTAGGCACCAAACTTGCCATCTGAAAAGGGAAGAGACAAGAAGTGCTGAGAGCTCTTGGAAGGATAACACATACCAAAGTGTTCAGCAAATGTGCTACCAAAAAAAAATAAAAATACATGAAAGGACTAACATACTGCAGAAAGCAACTAAGAAAATAACAGTGTATGTGCACCCAGCTATGTAGTCTGGCATTCAGAGATGATAAATACACAGCTAAGTATAGAAACATCCACAAAACAAACCAAGTCTACAGATAATCAAGGTGCTCACAGTTCAGGATAGGGGGATAGTTCTCACAGTCAGGAGATGAAATTTTAAAGGATGTAACAGCTAAGCCTAAGGATCCAGTCCAACTAACCAGCTGATGTTTTGAAGAAACTTTATACATAGGCAAAAGATAAAAGCCTGTTCTGAAGCATTTGTCATAGAATACTCTAGAGCAAGGAACACTGATGTGCAGCTCAGTCCCAATCTGCTACAGCCATTTCTACGTTCCTGCTTGCAACATAGGTTGTTCTTTGACAGAGTTTGGCAAGAAAAGGTGGAAAAAAAGACACTGCCTACTCCTTCAACCTTGCTGACTTCAGAGGAATACACTTCTGAAATCACAAATGTCTATGTCATTTGTCATCAATGGCATTTATTAGCATACCAGCTGAGGCACAGGCCAGATTCTTTGTAAGCATTTGAGAAGGTTCTATGATGACAGAGCTATGACATTTTTATCTTGTATAGTTTAGAAAGGCCATCCTGTTGTATGCTGTCTTCTCCTCACATCTCATTTTTCTTTGTCCAAACTTCGTTGCTTCATTTTTTCTAGTCTAGCTCTCTACTCCTCAAACTCAACCCACCCCTGGCTGAGCCTATTCTGCTCACTACCACATATTCTCTTCTACTGTCCTGCACACCTGAGCAGCCTTTATAGACTTTCCTGCAGGGACAGCAACAAGAAGAGATGTTCCCGTATCACTACAAATGCATGGAAGAGAAAAAAAGTGTACTGCAGCAAACTGACAGCAGTTATCCAAAGACTGGAGCAGTCTCACTTACTGGGAAGGCAGGCCTGGAGTCAGCTCAGCAACCCAACCAAAACAACTTCCAGTACCACCTTGGACAGTGAGCAAGAACATGCTAAAAGCCATAGGCTCAAACTTCAGTGACACAACCACCACTGGGAATATTTACATGAGATTTTGTATAGCTACACAGCACACCTGTTGCTTTCCACAGCAACAGGTGATGTCCCTGACTGAAGAGAGATCAAGCTATTCTGATTTTTCACAGACATGTTACTGGGGACAAAGAGCTCTCAGAGAGTTCCCAATGTTTCCCTGTCACATCCTATAAGTCAGACAGAAGTCTGATATTTGCTTAAAAGAAAAAGGAAAAAGAAAAGGCATGTTCAGGCCTGTCCAACACGTATGGGCCATATCACAATCAATCTACCACCCAACTGCTTTTTCAAAAGCTGTATGCCACAAGGCACCCTATGGAACTAGAGATACAAGCTCTGGCAAAGCCAAGAATCATAGCACTGTACAAAAGTCTGCTGCCAATATTTCAGCAGCCAAGGAAAAGGTTCTGGACTGATCACTGAAGAGTCACAGCAACATAAATGCCAATGGAAGGGGGGGTAAGAGCATGATTTGAGGGATTTGTTTTATTAAAAGACCTGTAATTTACTGCATAATTTTACCAGTTGCTGTCCTCAGATGTTTTGCCCCATAGAGGACATGGCTGAAAAGAATGCATGGCTCCTGCACACTCTGTGCTTTCCTCATGGGATGCTTCTGGATTTCTGTTCTGGCAGCTCTCTTACACAACAAAACGAGGTTCCAGTGGTCCCTTGATTCCCACAGCTCTTTTCAAGAAGTGACCTCACTGTAATACAGCTTTTTGTTCTGCAGCTTTTGGGTCTGATCTTGCCTGAAATAACACGGTAAAGATAAAACCTAGTTTCAACATTTCTTCTTAAATCAATGCCTAACTCCTCCTTAGGAAGACAACTTCTTCAGCAGAATCTCCCCCAGTGCTGGCTGTCTGCCTCAAATACATGCTCCTGCATTCCTTCCCTTGTCCACTGTTGTGTCAGTATGTGGCAATTCATATAACCTTTCAGAAGGGGGGGCATCTCTTATTTGTGCATTATGGTTTCCTGAAGAGGTAAGTTGGGAGACAGCCTAACTCCCCTAAATCAGACTGACATCTGTGGAAACACTGGATGTTGCATTCAGCTAAAAGCACATGGGGGGAACACATCACTTCTGCAGCACTCAGGCAGACAGGATGCAAAGTTCTGCCCTTGAATGCAACTTCTGAAACTCCGAGGCAGATAAATCCCACTTCTGTACAGCACTGCAAAGAAACTGAAAACATCATCTCTTTCATCTCTCTGTCCCGAGAGTTTGGATTGATTTTCACTTCTCAGTCAGAAGGAGAGGAGGAGAAAGAATCCATCCTCCTTGCATATTGCTTGTTACCCCAGCAACTTCAGGTAGATTTATCATATGACCCTGAACTGTCCATGGGAGACAATAATAACTTACCCTTAAAAACACTATTTCTTTTCATGCTTTTTATACAATAATGCACTTCAATGTAGTAAATCTTTCCCCACTTTTAAGACTCCTTGGCTGATAAATTCACCTTACAACATCTTCTGCAATAAAACAGGATCCTGGAATTATAATTAGTGTCAAGTTTATTCTGCTGGACATCCATCTCTCCAAATTCCTTGTCTCTAAAAATCAGGCATGCATACCTTCCTCAGAGGTAAAGAAGATCTTTATCTATGGTGAGTCAGAGAGGCCACATCTGAGATGTAAAAACTTGAAAAAGAGATATAATTTACTTTCAGAATATTTTTGAACCTATCTCAAGCCTTATGACCCAAAAACCTCACACTGGTTTTATTCAGGAGTTACTTCTAAGCTTGTCTACTTAGAAAGTTATTTTTAATTAACACCATGCGATTATCCTTGCTCCAGATAAGAACACTTATTCTGAAGTGACAACACTTACAAAGGGAATTTAATCAAGGAGAATAATTCTGCTTTCAACTTGTACCAAACCTTAATCTGACTTAAACTCTTCCTTGTGGAACAATCCTCTCATATTTACTGGGATATTACTACTGAAGGAGCATGACATTTCACACTCTTTGCCATGCTAATCCTTACTGCCTCAGAACACTAAATGCACATGCAAGGCAGAGAGCAAAGGCCCTGACACATAACCTCTTCCAAGATTTTGTTTGTCAAATGTTCCACTGCTCTGGGTGTGAAAGAATGGTTTGTGTTTCTCTTTACTGAGCTCCTAGCTGGAAAGCTCCAGACAGACCAGATAACAGACAGAGGAGCTGCCTGCCCAGCATCTCTAAGTAGCACACATAGCAGCCTAACTTCCAACAGCCAAATTATCTACCGAGAAAAAATAGGAACCAGAAAACACAGGGCTCTTAGGCAACAGGACACGACATTTATTGATCTATCTTTGCCTCAGCTACACAAATTCCAATTTCAGTGACTACATTACTCCTCTAAAACGCATTAAGCAATTTGTAAGATCAAAGGGAAGGGCACCTAAAGCAATCCAGAGAACCAAACTCTAATCTCCCAATAACTACAACTGTGTGTATGTAGGGGAAATACATGAGTAGAGATTTTGTAGACAGCAGCTAGAGCCTCAAGCTGATACACTAAACCTATTTAACAGTCCAGCCCCTCATTTACCAGAGCTCCTTCTCAGGGCCCTCCCACCACCCTTTGTAACCCAGTAGCATGTAGGGCAGCCCCCAGCAAGTCAGGTTTTGATTTCCTCAGGACTTTTCCAGGACAGAATTCAGTATGTTTGCATGCCATAGTAAATCACAGATCAGGAATTACAATTTTACAAAATTATACTTCAGCTCAGGGTAACTGTAAATTCTGCTACCACAGGATTTGGCCCACTACCTATGAAACTGCCAAACTTCATAAACTTTGCATGCACAAAAATAAATAGATAAAACAAACAAACAAACAAAAGCACTAGCAAAGCAATTGACACAACAGAAACTTTGACCTAACAGAGTCATAACAATATAGTCTGGTACAGCTTAATAAAAAAGCAAAATCATAAGTTAACACGTAGTTCCAGTGCTGCCAGCAGTTTTAAATGCATGTGTTGTCTGACACAATACCACAAGGCAGTCACTCTTATGTTTCTATGTTTTCAGCACAGAAAGAAAATGCAGAAGTTTTAGCTCTTTTTGCAGAAAGTACTGGCAAGCAAGTGCCAAAATATGGGCACTTAACAACAGTGGCTATGCATTTCAGGTATACAACTGCTATTCACTGAGAGAAGTTCAAAAAGCCGCTGTCAAATTATAAACTGATTGAAGGTACTTCAGAAACAGAGCATTTTCCAAAGCCCAAGGACAAAAAAGTAGATATACAGAGATATATCAATTTTTCCACACCTCATTTAAGTGAAAGAAGAAAGTCCATATTTGCTTTTAGTTTCCCAGGACGTAAGTGTCAACTCAATCAAATCTCACCAGAGCAAATCTTATTCTCACTAACTTGCCAGGAAGTTCTGTTACCAGTTTCTGAGGCATAGGAATGGGTCCTAACTTAGTCAGAACTCATCAAAGATAAAGATTCAAAAAGCAAATATTCTGAATTAGTTAGAAGTTTTCTATATTACCAACTAAAAAGGATGCAGGGAAGGGGTATGAGAAATGCATTCCTTATCATGAACAAATGTTGACTGGAAGAACACATCAAGCTACCAGAAAAGAGGGACATTTTATGTGTGCATTTCAATGTGCCTCCTTGGAAAGCACTGAGATAATTACCCTAATCTTAGAGTCAATATAAAAATTAGCCTATAACTCTTTCCCCAGCTACCAGTTTTCTGTCTTTTTTTTTACTTTTTTCCTCATAACGAAAGTAAGGCTGACCATTATCCATTAACAGCCACCATTTAAAAAATAGTCTTTTCTAGGTACTTGTCTTCTGGTCAAGTGTAGCAAAAAATCAAGTCTAAATATGAAAATGGACAGAGAGAAATCAGAAAAGCAAACAGAAAAGATTAAGAACAACAATACCCAGGGAAGCCAGGCATTCTCCAGTAAAGAGAAGACTGTTGCATACGTGACATAGAGTTGAGAAAAGATAGCCTAAATCAAATACTGTTCTCAAACAACACATTACAACTCCCGCTGTCGTCATTACCATTTAACAGGATGTAGAAGCAAAGTGACAGATGGAACTATCACACACTGGTGACACCTTCAAGCCTGACTCAACATATATCTCAGAAAAAGTGCTTGTCCTGGGTTAATCTAACTACACAGCACAAAACATCCAGCTTTTGAGGGAGCCTGACCTCAGAGCTTGTTCTCATGGCTGCAGCCTCTCTGCGTTACGTTGTCAGTCATTGCTCATGTCGTGCAGCCAATAACAACACAAGAACATCCATAATTCTTAGTGTTCCAGAGGAATGACAGGAAATGGTTTGGTTAGAGGAAGACTGGAGTGATCACCCTGCCAGGCCACTAGTGAAAATACCATAACATCCTCTCAGCTACTAGCATATAAAGACAGCTCCTTTGCAAGTGTCCTAGTTACAGGGGCTGAGAGCAGTTTATCACTATGTGGGTATAACCAAAACCGTATTCTACACCCTCTATGTCATTTCTGATGGACTGTTAATAAATAGATTGTTTGCAGCAGCTGCCCAGGGCACACCTGACACCTCAGGCTGGGTGTTAAAAAAACACTGTGAGGCAGGGAGTGTTCCTTTGTCTTCACACCAATGACTGGGCTGTGATAACTCCCCTCCAGGGAGGCATTAACACCTTCACACCCAGCCTGAGAGGTCATCTCCGCTAATGGCCCATAATGGACTGTCATAACAGGCAGCTGCAACAACCTAGACCATCAAAAATTCCAAAAATATCCCATGACTCACAGAGTTAAATCACCCATTGTGAAACTCCCCACTATAGGGGAGGTACTGGGCATTCCCACCTAAACCTGAGCATATACAAACTCTGGGTTTTGGGACTTCTGGTACCACTTGTCGGATCCAGAGGAGGACCAGAACTTCAACAGGACTGCAACTGCCACTTCGACAAGACTGCAATCATTACTTCGACAGAACTGCCACCATCATCCAGAACAACAGGTTTCCTTTCCTTTTACTTTGCCCCCGGGAGGGGCCATGTGGTGCTCAACACAGGGGCTAATGAACACTGTTCTGTTCCTGTCCCAGGGTACTGAGTTATATATCTGTCTTTGGGGGTTAAAACCAGTGTTTTCTCTGTATCATTGAATTTATTGTAATCTTTTTAGTAAATTGTAACTCTGACTTGTAATCTCTCTTGAGTTGGGTTCACTTCTCCCCCCAGTTCACTTTTAAACCAGCACAGCAAGACAGACAGAAAATCACAGAGTAAAGAAATCAACAATCGGGAAAGAACACATACAAGAAAGGTACGGTGGTCACATCAAGGACCTTACCAACCTTCAGTCCTTACCTTTAATAAGCTCTGGCTTGTAGGCTTTTCTTAGCTGCTCTAGGAAGTTGTTATAAAAACACTCTGCCTGCTCTGTGGGCATTGCCATGTGGTAGTCAGGCTTGTTTCCTTTCAGGATGCACTGGAGGGTAAATTGGCTCACACACAACACTTCATACTGTTTATCCATCACACTTTTGGACCAGTGCTTCCCACTCTCATCTTCAAATACTCGCAAGTTCAAGATCTTTCGAACCCTAGTAGGAAAAAGATAATTCTTAAATTGTCCCATGAGGAATCAACAGGTACCATACAGAATAAGATAACAGGAAAGGCAGATGCATATTCATTCTTTCTCCCCATAACAAGATATCCCTTTGCACCTTCATTCCTAAGCCGTGGAAATCTCGTCACATTATCAGAGGCATAACCAAGACAGCCCTTATACACCTACACAATGTTGTCAGATCATTAATCCACACCATCGTTTCATGGAGAATGGGATCAGAACTGAATAACTGCATGTTATAGAGTGACGTAAAGATGGCATAGTAAGTTAAGAAAGCTCACTCTTTAATATCTGATTTTATGTGTCACAATATTCCTTAACATGTGAACAGCTTTGGGAATTTTAATCCTCCCACCGCACTGGAAAATCACACTTAGTATGAAATGAGATCATCCTACACTGTAGTTGTTGCCAGTCATGATTCACATATACACCTCCTGCTTTGTCACTTCCTAGCACTATTCCCAAACCAGGCCCCACAAGCCAGATAAGGGCAACACTTTTTCATCAGGAGAAGAGGAAGGCAAGGAACAGGGCAGAACTGCAGGTGGCAGTAAAGTGGTGATTTGGACTTGTTTGAATTTTGGACCCATTTTTGGCTCTAATACTCAAGAGAATAAGAGGAACTTCACAAATGGATCCTGAAAAGCAACAGGAGGACTTGCAATCCAGTCCGTGTCAGGACTTCGATTGGTAACAGGACTGCAAGCCACTCTCCTGTCTTTGGTTTCTTCTCCACATCTGCAGCATCAAGAGAGCACATCAAGTGCAAAGCATTTCAATTCCAGTCATCAGCCAGGCATTCTATATGGCACCAGAGGTGAGGCCGTTAGTATAAGATAAAGCTGAGACTTTGTTATGGTCTAGCTCCACAGCTTTGCCATCACTAAGGCACAGTCCCAAGAACCATCCTTGCCAATCTGTGTGTGTCAACAGCAAACAGAATTAACTTCTGAATGAAATAGATGGTTAAAAGCATCCACTGGAAGACCCCAGCAGAAGGTTTTAATCATCATCACTGCTCTGTTTTAATCTTAGAGGTGTTTGTTGTTTCACTTGCAGGATTACTAAAGTTTCCTTTAATAGGACCTGAAAAACCTGGTTAAGCTGATTTCTTTCATTCCTTTTTCTCAGATGCTGGCTTCCTGCCCTTCCTGCATCAGTCATCCCAACAACCTGGTGTTGAGAGCACAGTCACTGTGGATCACCTGCATGTAATATTCAGAAGCATCCTCCACATTCACCAAGGTAAGGATAAGAAACAATGACAGAGCAAATGTTACACACTGAGCGAGGCAAACAGTAAGGTAAACCAATGAAGCATGTCAGAATAAAACCCCCTTCAGCTCTGCTGCAATTCTCTACAAGTTTCAAACGTTTATGTGAGATCTTTGGTGACATTCAGGTCATATCCTCAGTCTCTTACTTTCTGTGCCACATCTGCTAAGGGTTGTTTTCACCATCCCTCACATTCTTCTCTCTTCACTGCTTGAGCCTTTCCTCTCCTTGACATCAGTCAGCTCCACCACCTGTTTCTTCTTTGCCTTTGTAAAGACTGAGGTCAGTCTTAGAATAATGATCTGTCTGAAGGAGACAGAAGAAGCCCCTGGAGAACTCCTTCTTGCATGTGATTGCTGGCTGAATTACGCTATTCTGTGGCCATGGAACAGATGGCCAGAGCCAGTCCTCAAGGCTGCCAAAATTGATTCATGTTTCCACACAACTAACTGACAGGAGTATCCTGCCTTTTGGAAGAACAAAACTTCTGTGCAAACTAAAATGAGAGTTTGAGGTTTCTGATAAATCCCATCCTTGAAGGATGGATTTCTTCTGGGTAAATTCATGCAGTAAAAAGGACAGACAGCTAAAAAAGGGAAATCTGAAAAACCCAACATGTTGATTCTTCCTTTTTGAGTCTGCTCTTGTTAGAAAACACAGAGACAGGGAACAGAAACAGATTTTTCTCAGTGGAACATAAACTAAGAACTAACTAAGAAATTTGTATTCAAGGTAAAATCTCAAGAGGAACTAACAGGTAAACCTGAATCTCCCAGTAGGAATAAGCAATTTGTTTGGCTACTGCACAGGTATCAGTGATTCAGTATCGGCAATAAACAAGTAAAACAGCACAAGGCAAAAGGAAATAAGCGACTTACATGTGCTCCAGCTCTCTTTGTGTATCTTCCAAAGAAATGCCCAGCAGCACACAGAGGCCTCGTCCTATTGAGCTGATCTGTTCACCACCCACTGGGGAAGGAGAGGGGGAAAAGTAAGGTTAAATGCACTGTCTTGTTTTATGACACAAGTAAGTACTGCTTTCAGCTGGAAAACTCTTCATCCACCAAACAGCATTTCCAAATCCTGCTTATCTGTGTTAAGTTTGTAGAGATTAAAGATCACATAGAAGCATTCTTTCAAAAGCTTCCCAGTGTCACTTCTTTGTGAGCTCAGGATGCTTATTCCAGCATCTAAAAACTGTTGAAAGATTTTTACTACTGCTGGATCAGCCGTGCTAACCAGAGAAAAGGCAGAACTCTCTCCAAGACTTGTAAAAATTATCCACCTGGTTGATGTCACTAAGTTTCTCAAGTTCTCTACTCCACCATTCCCTTCATACTTTGTATTTGTTGTGAAAAGGTGACTTCTACCTTCTACCCTCACGAATTTTTTTAAATATGACTTGTAACAACCTGCAAATTCTGCCCTTCTAATTTGGAACACAACCCCTTTAATGACATTTACAATAAAACACAAACCATCCAAGATCTATAGCGTTTTCCTAAGAAATGTTTTAAATTATCTTAAACTGATTATCTTAATTTAAATTATGGACCGTGGTTGATACTGAGATCGCTGTAGTAAGATTAGATGCAGCCTTAAAACTGAGATAAGCACCAGTTACCCAGCCGTTAAAACTGCATCCAGGTTCATGACTGGGGAAAAAAGCTCCAAACATTCTGTAAAATGAGAGGAGATCAGGTCTCCAGCAAAAGCTGAAAGCTTGTGTCTCTGCACTAGTGGCCATATCAGGACTATTCCCAATGGGCAGAAGCAAACCAGGGGGAAAAACTCCTCACAAAGACTCTTTCCATTGGATCTGGGTATGAGTCCTCCAGCTTAGAAATCTGTTCTGCTATGTACAGCACTCTCTCCCTCAGAGAGTGACATCTCAAACTCTTCAACAGCCAGAAGCAATAGTTTAAATTATTCCCCAGGGAAGTGGCAGTAAGTCAGCAAGAACTCCAGTGCTGATGGGGACTGACCACTGTTGTGGCCGCAGTACCAGCTGTGCACAAAAGCTGTGCCCCTTACACAAACATGCTCTGTCAGTGATGACACACAAGCAGAAACTGTTTTATAGCGTGAAGGCCATCCTGCTGCACACTCCTTGACCCCTGGGCCGCACAGCAGAACTCACTGCCTCACGTGCAAACTTCTTGGGGATTTTAAGCATGTCAAGCACAGAAGGTCCAACCAGTGCAGTAGCGGGGACATTCCATCAGGACACACCATTCCAATCGGCACCAGGGCTACTGACCCAGGCAAGCAGTGCCCAGTGGCAGCAGGGACAGCACCACTGACACACACAAGCAGTGCAAAAAGGGGCCCCAGGCTGCACTGCCAACGTGCTTGCAATGCTCCGAGGTGACTGTGATTGTACTGCCAATGCACAGGAGCCACAGGAGAGGGAAACTGGGATGGCACTGCCACCACATACACGCTGCATGGAGGCACCCTTGATTACAGTGCTGACACATTCGCTGGGGGAAGGTGATCACAGGCTCACTGCTGACATGCACACGCAGGACAGAGACAACTGTGACCGTGGTGCCAGCACGTGTCCATGGTGCAAGGAGGCAGATGGGATGGCTACTCTGACACACACACAGGCAACGTGGAACAGTCACCGGTTCAGTTCTGCCACGCAAGCAACCGATGCAGGTGGCTGTGGCTGTCGTGGCACACATGCAGGAGCGAGGGCTCGCAGAGGGGATGGCACTGCCAACACACACAGCGCGGCAGTGACCAGGACGGCCCCGCCAACACGGACACCAAGCCTGACAGAATTCAAGAAGCGTTTGGACAAAGCTCCCAGGCACATGGTGTGACTCCTGCGTATACCCTGTGCAGGGCTAAGAGTTGGTACTCGATGATCCTCGTGAGTGCCTTCCAACTCAAAATGTTCTGTGATTCTCTGAACGCAAAGCAGCAATGCAAAATGACTGCGACTGTGGTATGAATACAAAGGCACTCGAGGAGGCGACTGCAGCGGGACTGCCAGCCCATGCCGGCAAGGCGAGGATGTACACAGACCTCGATACACAGACCACACACGCAACCCATGAGGGAGCTCGGCTGGGCCCCCGTGGGAGAAGCAAGCGAGCCGGCCCACGCCAAACCCACGCAGCGGGACAAGGAAAGGGGAGCGCACACATGCATACATACACACACACACACACACACATACACGCACACACACACGGCCGCCCCCAGCCCTCCCGGCTGGGGCGCACTGACCTGTGACGCTGGCCTGGGCCACCCGCTGCACGATCGCCTTCATGGCGCAGCGCGGGCCGGCGCCGAGCGGGGACAGGCGGCGGCGCCCGGCAACGGCGGCCGCTCCCTGCCCGCCGCCCGCCCGCACCGCCGCACCGCGGCCGGGAGGTGCTACTGCAGCCCGCCGGCACACCCCCGACAGCGCCAACAGAGGCTGCTTCGAGAGCAAAGGGACAGGTGTGCGCAGGACAGGTGTGCGCAGGGCAGGTGTGCACTGACCAAGTGTGTGCAGGTGTGCACTGACCAGGTGTGCACAGGACAGGTGGGCACAGGACAGGTGGGTTCAGGACAGGTGTCCGCAGGTATGCGCAGGGCAGGCATGCACAGATGGGTACAGGCATGTACAGGCCTAGTGTCTACAGGAAAGGTGTGTTCAGGGCAGGCGTGCACAGATGTACATGGGACAGGTGTGCAGAGGCATGCACAGGACAAGTGTGCACAGGACAGGCCTGCACAGGTGCGTAAAGGACAGGTGTGCACAGGTGTTCAGTGCGTGGAGGGGCTCCCTTCCTCTAAAGGGGAGTTAATGTCTGTACGGTTTTGTGGGGTCGCCTACAAAAGGGAGAAAATGCAGGTGATCAGAGCAGCACCTCTATAGCAACAGCTACAGGGCCACAAGGCGGTGCCCAGAGAAATTAGTGCCTGGGAGTAGCCCTCTAGAAAAGGAGGTGGTAGCTGTAGGGACCAGAGGAGTCTATATGGAAAGGTGAGTCTGTAGGTGCATGGACTAGGTGGGGCTTGTGTTATAAAAGCTCCAATAGAATTATAGAATGGTTGGAGTTGGAAGGGACCTTAAAGATCATCTAGTCCCAATCCCGCTGCTGTGAGGCCTTTCACTAGACCAGGTTGCTCAAGGCTTTATCCAAAACCTTGCTTTGAATGCTTCCACAGTTGGGGCATCCACAACATCCCTTGGCAACCTGTTCCAGTGCCTCACCACCTTCCCAGTAAAGAATTTCTTCCCAATATCTACCCTAGATTTTCCCCCTTGTCCTACCACTACAGTTCCTGATGAAGAGTCCCTCTCTGGCTTCCCTGTAGGCCCCCTTCAGATACTGGAAGGATCTGGAACCTGAGGTGTGTGGGCAGAGACAGCTTTCCTTATGGCAAGATGGGAGACCTTAGAGAGACTTGTGTGGGGTAGGGCAAGGGGTGTCCTAAAAAAGCTGTAGGGAGAGCCTTGATAGAAAAGGGGAGGTGGGGCAGGGGCAGGTAGAAGCCCCTACAGAAAGGAAGCTCTGCCGGTGCAGGGTCTTGGGTCAGCTCCCCCCAAAAGGGAGGCCATGTCCATAGAGACTGGAGGAAGCCTGTGGAAAAAGGAAGGGTTGGGGGCAGAGCTCTAGATAAGAGGAAGTGGAGGCTGCAGGGAGCCCCTGCAGCAATGAGGGTCAGCAGTGAGAGAAACGAGAGGAAACATCAACAGAAAATGGTGGCCAGGAGCTTGGAAAGGAGGTGATGTACATAAGGACTAGAGAAAACCCTACAGAATGAACATTAGTTATGGCCACAGAGCTAGGGGACAGTATCCTACAAGGGGGAATAGCATGTATAAGGATCAGGAAAATCCCTATAGAAAAAAGAGCCTGAAGCAGAAAATTTAATAACTTTTTAACTCGCAGTAGTTGTAATTCATCCCTCATAAGCTTTTATTTGAAGGATGAGTAAGAACTCTTGTACCTGAAACATTAAACTACACTCCTTCCCATTTACTAATCGTTCTTCAAGTATCCATTTCAGAGCTGCTCAGTTGAGAAGCCATCCCAGGTATATTCTGGATCATCCGGGTATGTCCTGCACACCAGCTGGGAAATCACACCTGGTCAGAGCATTGGTTGCAGGACACCAGGCAGCACACAGGTTCATTACCACCTCACAGGACACCTGGATGAACCCAGTTCATGTTCAGCAATTCCAATACACAGACAAAGAACAGCAGCGATCCAAGCAGACAAGAAGGTTGGCAAGTCCAGCAGAGTGGTGACCAAGATGGAGCTGTTGCTTCAGAAATGCAAGGGACAATTTTCCAGTGGTGGTCTGACATAAGGCACTGGGATGACATTCTCAGAGCCCCAACACAATGTTCTGAGCTTTCAGGCAGCTCACTTTTCAGAAGGCGGGCTGCCACTAGAATCAAAGAATGATACCACACGCCTGAGCAGTCGAGTAAGAGGAGGCTGATCATCTCTGTATGTTACTTCTGTTCTCACTTGGAATCCGAAAGGTGTTTCCGTAGTGTATACTTCCTTACGGGGCCCTTGGTTCCTCTGAGGATCATTTTCATTCTCTAAGGAATGGGGGGAGGGTAAGAGGGGAGACAAAAGAGAGCACAGCAATAAAAATGTTTCATGCCTTCATCATGACACAACAGTAGCCACTGGGCATTCAGTCTTCTCTTCCCTTTTCCTCAAATTTTGAGGAATAGATAGCAAAGATCTGGTAACTCTGTAGTCAGAAAAAGTGATTTACTAGGGTAGGTTAGATACCTGCACTGGCACTGGACAAGAAACAGTACTACAATAGCAGCAATAACAACTGGCTTCCAAGTTACCCACATTACAGCTAGCTCAAGCGGCTCAGTGCAGAGCTGACCAAAAGTTAAAGTATTGTCCAAAGGCCTCTTAAACACCGACAGGCTGGGGGTGTCGACCACCTCTCCGGGAAGCTTGTTCCACTGTCTGACCACTCTCCCGGTAGACATGCTTCCTAATGTCCAGCCTAATCTGCCCACAGCACAGCTTTCAACCCATCCCACAATGTAAATAAAAGCAACAGTTCGGGAAGACTCTAGTCCCTGTTCCTGTGACCTGCGGTAAAGCACAAGCTTCTCCCTTCAACAGGGGATTTATCTTCCTTCACGGTTAACCCATTCGGGCTGCCAGGGGGTCGGGCGGACACCCGGTTCACTCACCCGGCCCAAGCAAAGGCCGCGCTCCGGCTGCCTCACAGTTGCTGATCACAACTGGGTTCTGAGCTATCACGTACTACAACTATGTGACCATGACCAGAGTACAAATGAAGCAAGTCAATCTGAAAAAAAGACTGCTGCTGTCACTTCCAGACCCAAGCGCCCCGAGGGGCGGGCGGGCGGGCGGGCGTACTGCCGGGGCAGCGCGGCGGGGGCAGCACCCGGCCCTGCTTTCCCCGGCCGAAATATGCGGCGGGCGCGGTCCCGGGGGCGCTCCAGGCGCTTTCCCCTAAGACTCGTCCCCGGACAAGCCCCGCGCGCGGCCGAGCACCCTCACGCAAGCACCGCCCCCGGACACGCCCCGCGCTGCCGGAGCGAGGCCCCCGAGCGAGGCCCCCCCTCCGCCAAACCCCACCCCTAGGCCCAGCCGCGTCACGCCTTCCCGGGGTGACCCGAGGCACCGTTCCCGGTCCCGGGGCCGCGCCAGCCCGTACCGGGGCCGCCGCCGCTCTCGGCGCCGCCGCCGCTGCCGTAGCGGCTGTAGTAGATCATCCCGCCCAGCGCCGTCCATCCGCCCAGCGAGTACAGCAGCGCTGCTCGCGCGTTCCACACGGCAACGCGCATCGCGCCCCAGTAACGCCGGCGCTCATTGGCCGCGCCCCGCCGCCAATGGGGCGGCGCGCAGGGCGGGGGCAGCGGGGAAAGGAGGAGGCAGGAAACGCCCATTCTACGTACACCTGAAGTCGGGGACAGCAGTAAGGGGTGGTTCTCTTACCTGATTTTATTTTTCATTAATACAGTCCGCTGGTTGCCAAAAGCCACTTCTTAAGAACACGCGACATTAAAATTAAGCCAAAGACTGTCAAAATCTCTGTTGACTAAAACATCCTTCAGCTCTAATTACAGTGTGTGAAAAATGTAGAGTAAGCAGAATATAGACAAAAGGGAATACAAATAAGTTAGAAAGGAGCAGTAAAAACTGCCCCGGAATGTTTATTTCATGTAATACTTAAAACCCCTAGTTTAAAAGAGAGAAAAGGAAATGTAACTAAATTGCTCCATTTCTGTCATCAACATGATCCATGTCTCTTCTTGCTCCTCAGTTTGATCCCTCATGATGCACTCGAAACTGCCAGCTTTTTTAAGTGGTCCATGAATACCTGGAGACTCACATCATCTGTCAAGATTGGAGCTCCTGATTCCTGAAAAAAAAAAAAAAAAAAAAGAAATAATGAGCCTAAAGTACTGTTGTTAATGCAGGGGACTAATTGAAAGCAAATAAAATGTTAGCACTCTGAACTGACTGCCTGCTAAATTAACCACCTTTTGCTCCTGCAAAAGACAAGATCAGTAGAGATCCTTTGCATCTCTAATGAAAAGTTGCTACTTTTTGGCAACAGCACTAACACTATCCTCCAGTACAATCTGAATTACTGCAGAAAAGTCTCTTCTACCTAAAGCATTAGGAATTTTGCTGCCCAAAGTGCTACACAAACAAGGTAAACAAAAAGGATATAAAAGTCTAGTATTCTCAGATAGAATTCTTAGACCTATATGTATCCATATGCTAGTTACTTTTTCCAAAATACTAAATACATTGTGACCTATTTAAATCATATTTGTAGGGAAGGGTCAAGATAAATTTCTACATCAGGTCACCTGAAATCTCTAAGAACATAGGCTACATAAAATCAGCTGCTTCCTTCAATAGCAGCCAACACAGAAAATTCTCCTGGTTTGCCTGTGCCCCCCATGCAGCTGAGATATGGGAAGGGAAAAATCAAAGGGAAAAACCACTCCTTGTGGAAACCACTCCTTTCCTGCCATCAAGCTACTCAGGTCCTGAACTATGGATGCGTCACCTCTGTTTGGACAGGCATTCCTTGGACGCCTTGAGGAAAAACCTCAAAATCAACTGGGTTTTGTGGAAAATTTTTGGTGATTCAGTACAAGAATAGGAACACGAATTAGTCATCCAGGCTTGAAAACTGTTATTCTCATCACCTAGTGGTCCCCACCAGTACTGTTTATCTTATCAACAACCATGGTAAGAAACTGAGGACAAACATAACCTGCTCACAATGCCTGCTGCCCAGACAAATATGTACATGTACATTTTACAGCATTCCCAAACATGAGCAGCTCTTTCATTGCTTACCT